ACCCTGGTGGGAGCCATCCGTGAAGGAGTAGGGCTGGAGGACTTCAAGGACCCACAAACCCTGGCACTGGACCAGAGGTCTCCTGCCTCAGGCTCCACTGGCCCCTTGTCACAGGCAGTGTTGGCAACAACTGAGGCTGCCCAGGCACATTCCCCTTCCCTTCTCTCTCCCCAACATCCCTCAGGGGCCCACACTGGGGTGTGGGGGAAATATGGTGCAAGGAAGAGACATGCCTCAGTTTAAAATGTTCTGGTTGCCAAACTTTTCCTGTTTAATAAAGAAAACCTGTTGATCACTGCCCATGTTTCAGCTTGGTTCCTCCTCCTAATTACCACAAAACAGCAAACCTTTGGCGGCAGTGGGGTGGGGAAGGGGTTGAGAATGAGGTGACAGAACCTGGAAGGGGGTTTGGGGTCAGCAGAAATGCCATATGTCCTTATCTCAACAAACACAAAACCTTGATGAGGAGGCACAGAATAGGGGGCTTTTGACCTGGCACCCTACTTACATCTTTACTGACTGCCTTTCTTGTATACGTACCAGCCTCTGGCTTCTTTATATGGGTGTGTGAAGCAGGCCCTATTTGATTTGGATTCAGCCCAAATCAGGGACAGTGATTTGATTCATTGATTCAGATCTCTGTCCCTGAGTAGATTCGGCCAAAGCTGAATCTGAAGATTCAGTGCTGATTCAGAGAATCAGCAATTTGGACATAGACACAGCTTTAAATGCTTTTTCTACATACCTTGAGGTACCAGCGCGGCTTGTGAATGCTGCAATGGTGGGGCACATGGAGCATCCCACAGGAGTGCTGGGGGGGCCCTCCACGTGCTCAGCAGTGAACCTGGAAGTGCTTTACACCATGCGCCCCAGCATCCATAGCTTTCATAGACATTAGGGGCTGGAAGGGACCTCATGAGATCACCGGGAAGTCAGCTGACTTCCCATAGGTGGGAAGTCATCTGGGATCAAGTGACCCCAGCAAGAGAAAAAGCATGACTCCATCAGGACTTGAACACTGAATCTTTGAATCCCTTCCACTTCTAGATGTCCAATGCACTATCCATTGTGCCACAAAGCCACCTACTAGCCAGAGCACCCTGCTACCTGGAGGTATGTAGAAAAAACATTTAAAGCTGTGTCTATGTCCGAATCTTTCTGAATCTCTCTGAATTGATTCAGCGGGTTCCGATTCAATTCAGAGAGATTAAAGGGTCCTCTGATTTGATTCAGATTTGGAGATTTGGCCACCAAATTGGGCTGAGTCTCTGCCGAATCGAATCAGGGACTGAAGCTTCACACAGATCCTACTTTACTATTCATTCCATCCAGGAAGATCACACACCAACTGCACAGGCTTCCGCAACCTGACGAAGGGTTTTTAAACCTGAAAGCTTGCTAAGAAAAATGTTTCCAACTATTTAAGTTGGTCTAATAAAAGATATCAGATTCACCCAAAGAATCTTGTCTGCTAGTGAATTGGTAGGCACCTATCCACTGGCCAGATGAAATTGCCTGGTGGGCTGGATCCAGCCTGCAGGCTGTATTTTGCCCACCCCTGGCTTGGGTATAAGCATATGATCCAGAAGGTCTAGGTTCAAGTCCCTGCTTTGTTATAGACAGTTTGTGTGTACTTGTGCAAGTTTATCTGTGCCTTATTTGTATGCTTATAGTAAGAAGGAAGAGCACTGCATTGCACCATTTCCGTGGGAAGATGAACATACCAAAAAGAGTCGTTCCATGGTACTGAGGGCCACTTCAGGGCCTAAGATAAACAAGAGCACATAGCATGATTGCAAGCTGAACTGCAATGTGTGTCTTACATCTGTCTAAGTCAAGTTCAAACAGGTTATTAGAATTCCCAGTTGAGAAAGTTCCTGCATAGCTACAATGTCTGCTCAGCATTTAGCTGCCCCAGTCCATGACTTTTGAATGACCTGTCTATTGCAGACAACATGCATGATGCTGCCCATCTGGCATGTGCTCATATTTTGTTTATATTCTGTTAAGGGCCAACTACGTTACCACCCCTGCCCCTTGAGTGAAGAGGGTTTCACACTTGTACAGCTGATGGCATGCAACTTCATTAGTAAGGGTGACAAGAGAAAGCCCCTTCAAATAAAGGGCCCAATCCACACCCAGTCTATCCTCTATATGGCTCATCTGTTTATGTAGCTCAGACCACTCAGTGAGGAATGTTTCATAGTTATTATGCAATGGCCTCTAGAGGTGGTGTGCAATACATAGAAAGAGGCAAGTGATGAATCACTTATGAATGGGCCATCAAAATGGTGAAGTGACATGACTGAGGTCTTCCAGGAGGCCTCGGCATAGAACCAAGTCACCTGGTTCCCAACCCAACATTTGGTTCACTGGCTCACGCAACTGTCCTGCCTACTTTATTTTAGTTCTGTTTCTGGTGTCTATGCCATGCCCATGACAGTTGCACCTGGCACCTGTCTAGTCTGAGCAAATCCTCATTTATCAGTAAATGTACTGACAAGCTGGAGGTGGCTTGTGAGGATTCATACAAATTCCTTAACGGGGTCAGCCTTTCAGTACCAAGAAGAACTTCAGCTTTCACTTTTAAGGAGTAGTTGTGTTTAACTCTGTTTCCCTGCAAAGTTAATCTTGACAATGTAACTTGATATTAGCAGATGCAAAGCAACTGTTTGAGGCTCAGAGGAGCAATCTGCCTGGCTCTGCTTCTGTGGTCGTGGCAGATCACAAACTCCACATGAGTAGCAGTGCTATGAAATCTAAAGAACACACATTCTTATTGCGTTGGTGAAATTTGGTTTGTGTCCCAAAAACTCATCCCGCTGTTTCTTCCCCTAAATACATAGCCTTCTGGGCCTCTGTATCACAATGTAATCATGATATGGGGGAGACAAGGACAGAGGAATGGGTACAAGGAGGAGGGGGAAGAAAAACTTCACAGATGCACTGCTGACCTGATAAAGTTGGCTTTGCTTTTTAACTTTTCCAGTGGTTTAGCATGGATGCTGTTCCTTCAAGTGACACTTGAAAGATTAATGCTTTTTTGTTGGGTGTTTGGAAGAATTGATGGTGCCCAGGAAAGGAGGGGGAGAACAGTTGATGAATTGGAAGAGTGTGGGGAAGGGGAACTTCCCAATGAAAATATTGTGTGCCACCAGCCTTAAGGAGGAAAGGATTGTTCATCCACAGTGCAACTGTGAGTGAGCTGTTTATCAGATTTGAAACTCATTTCAGGTAAGCTTTTGGTCTTTTCTGTCAGGAACATCTGCTCTCTGTCTCAAACGCATGAACTCCTATGCCTCTGCAAATACAGCAAGGGCTGGAATCTCTATCTCCCTGGGTCTTGTCCAGGCTTTTTCCAACTCCTCCTTTTCCATAGGTATTCACTTTATCTTTCATCTCACTTCTTTATCACTTTATTTTTCTCACTTCATATTTTCCCTCATGTTACTTTATATTTGCCTCTTCAGGTGAGGTATTGAAGAAGAATGTTTCTTGGGCCAGTCTCTGCTAGAGCAGCTCCCTAGTCACTTGCTCTTGCTAGGTTGGCAGAGACCTTTCCCTTAAACAATGCCTGAACTGTATGAAAGAGCTGCTAGCAATTTATCGGACCTCACAGTATCCAGGCAGCAGAGAATTCAACAACCCCAAGGATCCAAAGTAGAGATATACTACCTGAAATGGGGGAAAACAGGGATGAGAAATTAGTTGGGGCTCTTTCGGAGCAGAAGCAGTAGATCAGAGGCCACCACCTTGAGTAGGGTGGCCATCATAGAGGACAGTCCAGTTGTCTTCTGTCCTCTATTGATACAAAACCCAACGCCTTTATGTCTTCTATTTTTCTCTTGAAGAGAGAAATAGAGGACATAAAGGCACTGGGTTTCATATCAATAGAAGACAGATTAGCAGAAAACCGGACTGTCCTCTATGATGGCCACCCTAACCTTGAGACCTGACCCGAGACATGCCTTTACCTGGCAGGAGGCCAGCAGAAGCCACATGAGGCACACACAAGTCTGGAGCTTGCAGGAAAGAAACTGGTGTGGAGGGGTCCCAAAGAGTCCTGTCCCATGACCTGTTCCAGATGGCCATTAAGGCTACATTAGGAACTATGGTTCTCTGTATTGTAATTTAAAGTCATCGTGTCACTCTTTATTTCTTGTGGGGCACTGGCTTTGGCGTGAGGCAGCTGGAATTGGTGTGTCGAGATGTACATTAGTCCCTCAGTTGGTGGGTTGTGCTCATATTAAGCGAGATGTTATGACTAGAATTCAGATGATGAATTGAGCAGACTCCTTGGTTCTGAATGATCTCTGAACACCACGTTTCTGGCATCTCTAGCAATGGAGTTTGGAGAACCGACAAGGTTTGCTACCAGTGTCGTGTCACACATGGGGCACTGCCAGATATTGGGGGGGTACATATTCACGTCCACTCCCAGCAGTGGGGTTCGTTATGGGTATAAATGCTTATGGGTATGGGCCCAAAAAATTCTACTTCTCCCCCCACAAATTGTTGTTGTATTTTCATGTCAGTGAAGTTTTGAATATCCAGTTCTTGCCAAAAATCTGCCCTTGAAAGACTCCGAGTCATTTCACGAACTTCATTGTGCGACCGCAGCAGAATGCTTGCGAAGTTAGGCCATTTTTTTTTAGTGTGTGTGTGTCCCAAGTTGTGTTAGACATTGATCAAGTTCATAAAATTAAAGCTGTGCACACCAGCCACAGCCTGAGCAGCACACCTTGGCCCATGAATAATCACATGGCAGAATCTGGTATAATTTTTTTTTCTCTGAGCTAGGAATCTGCTCACATTTTCACTGAGGCCTTTTTTTGTGAAAGGCAAAACTTGGCTGTGTATGCATTTTGGATGACATAAAGCACTCTCCGCATATAATCCCTTTCTCCAGTTAGAAAATATGCTTGCTTTTTGTTTTAAAAACGACAAGAAACATTGAAATTATTATATAGAAGTTTATTATATACTAACTAACTCTCAAGTGCATTAGACCAACATGTTTAACAAAGCCAGGGGTTTGGGCCATAAACACCGGTTAACTGTTTGAATGAAACAACATGTCTATCAGAATGCATCTCAGTTCTCTAAAGGCAAAGTTTTAAAAAGAAATAATTGTTATACATCATCCTGGTTTTATTCTCAGGGACACTCCACAAACACCTGAAATTTGACTGATTTCTAGGGGGGAGGTGGAAACTGATGGTAATTAACTGCAGGATTTAGTTGAACTATTAATCATTTGAATGTGAAGAGAGCTTTTTTCTTTCTCATTTGGGAAAGAGACAAAATAAAGTTGCACCAGCATTTCCACAGCTGCATAAACACATTTAAATGTTTTATTGCTAATGCCATAGAAGCAGATAAACAGATTTGTTGGCCAGTGCATCAGGCATAGGGTATACATGAATGATATGAGTATGTTTCCAAAATATGCTCAGGGCTCTTGGAAATGCCAGACATCTTGCATAACCTGTGGCTGTTCAGCCCCATTTCCTGCCATGAGCGTATGCTGAGCTTCTGGGAACATGGTAGGCTCCACGGTCACTTCTTTCTGTATACCCAGAGGTACTGTGCCCTCAGCACCAAAGGTCATAAAGCTGTCAGGGATACCCTGTGTTAATTCTGGGGCTGTAGCAGTTGGAGTCACCCCTAGAGTTCCTCTCTGACCAACAGGATTGACCCCTTGGCCTGGCATATCGTTAATATTTGGCAAAAAACCCTCCTGTCCTGCTGGGATCCCCTCTGGAAGAAGTATGGCACTTCCATGCCCTGCAGGATTCACTGCCGGAAATTGGGAGCCTCTTGAGGGGCCCTGGTTGGCGCCTCCTTGGATGGCTGGATTATGTGCTGTAGCAGGGTTATCATCTTCCGTTGTGAAATCTCCCTGCAGGGCTGGGTCCTGAGGCATCCCTCTGAATCCAGGAATCATGGCACCATAGGCGGGTACCCCACCTCTACCTCCCTGGGGGGAAAAGAAGTGAGGAACTGTTATTCCATCACATTGCTATCACGGCGGCTAGTCTGACAGTAAGTCAGACATAACTGGTGCAGATTTTGTGCCATCAGTAAAAGGCAGCCTATCAGAACAGCCATAGGGCAGGGTGAAGTGATCGACTTTTGTCACCTGGAAGCACTGCTATTTATATTCTGGGCTACACAGTCACACTAATCTCTTCTAGGTTTTTTCACAAAAATGGACCAGATCCTGTTCCAACCTGCACCTACGTTTTGTAAGACCCCATCATCTTTGCCTTCAGATGTTTTTCAGGGATTGAGCAGGGTCAAATACGATCACCTGTAGGGCCACATCCAGACAAGCGCAGCCATGCAGAATGTGGCACTGTAGATATATCTGCGGCAGCACATACTGCATGTTCAGTTGTTTTCCACACTCCAAGGGAGTGGCATGGAGGATATCCAGGGGTCAAAAAAACCCATGGGGGAAAAGAAGTAGAGCAGTGCACTTGGTGGCAGCATGCACCACCCAAAGCTGGAGCCTGGCTGGCTGGAGCCACACTCCGCTGCCAGCCAGGCTCCATGCGGCAGGAGTGACAAGGCTGCAACCCTGGGAGGCCCCCAGGACCCAGGTAAGGCTGCTGGGGCCAGCCCAGTGCTGACCGCAGCCTCCCCTGCCCCACCAGTTGCCACATGCCAGGGCACACATGGCACAGGCATTTCCAGGGACAATTATCAGCAGCAGAAGGTGCACCGCTGCTGGTTGTCCCTGGGGAACCAAATGTCCATGCATGTCTGGATGTGGCCTAGGTATCTAATAGTGGAATAGAAACTGGCCTTTAATTTTTAAAACTTTAAAGGAAAATGCTTATCTATGGATATTTTATCAGGAGATCTAAAAAGTTTAATTGCTTTACTATATGGAAGAGACAAGCTCTATCTGGGGCTTTTTGTATCATGTTTCTCCAGAACAAAATACAACATACATTTGCAGTTCAAGGACTCAGGGCCTTCAGGTCACTGCATTTGATTGCACCTGTAAGGATTGATTCTTTTTTACACTAAGATCCCTTTACCCCACTTTGGAGTTCAGTGAATATAAATTACAAAGAATTCAAAGTGTGTTTAGCTTAAAGCAAACTCTGTATATATTTCACTCTGGGAACACAAGTCTTTTAGCACAAGAGCCTTCACTTGGCAGTGCCTTAAAGAGAAATGTAGGAAAGTAGAATTATTCTTTGGAAATACATAACAATGCCCTTTAAAAATCCAAGGTGACTTTCCTAGCTTGTGTTGGTCAACCTATTAACAGTATACAAACATTGCAAAGGTGACAAAGATGCTGGGAGAGAGTTGTCTTTCCCTTACATATTAGAGGAGGACTATAACAGCTGTTGGTGATCATATGTTTGCAAGGGGGAACATGTTTATAACACAAAGCAAATCCATGAAGTCACGTACCAGCATTTCTTCTGAACTCACTATGCCAAGCCTAGCAGGAGCACCCTAAAGAAAATACAGCCAAGTACAAATCAGTCTAGCCAAATGCAAATGTGACTTTGTTTTGCTGAACTCTGGGTTTTAAAAGAGACCTTATATTAAAAATTGGCTAAGGTCTCGAAAGTCACCCGAGCAAATTAAGACCCAGTTCCCAATAAAAACTAGTGGGAGTTCAACATTCAAATTGCTCCCATGGCATTTAACATTTCAGGCTTTCACTTTATATTGTGTTGCAATGGTAACAACTCACTTGGAGTATTAGATAACTTTTTTTAGGTAGAAAATAAACAAGAGACTTACTCCTTGGTTTGCTGCATAGGACATGTAAAACAGGGCAGGATGCAACTAGACATCAAGAAAGTGATAGTTAAAAAAAGTGGAAAAAGGGAAAACTTTAAAATGATATGAGTGTACAAAAGGCAAAGAGGAACTGGGGGGTGGAAATGGGAAGGTACTTACTGCTGATTGCTGTTGTGGTTGCATTGGACCTTGGTGGACTAACTGATGGACAAGTGGGTACATCTTCACCAAAAGAAATAAGCAGAATATTTCAGTGCAACACAAGACAATATAGCAAATACCACAATTGCTTTGAAAAGGCAAGACAGATATTCATAGTCACGTTCATGTGTCTTAGATACCCTAGTAACAAAAAAGGCACACATACATAAAACATTCTGAGTGTTCCAATAAAAAAACCTCAACTCAGCCAACCAAGAACAGCAAAAATAATAAAAGCAGGAAGCTTTGTAGCAGAGAGAAAGGAATTTATGTCCTATACTGTAAACTGTTTTTGCAAATATGTTTTTTAATGTGGTTTTTATATTTTAGAAGTCTATTACAAAGGGGAATTTCTCGGTTGGTTTAAGCAATCCTAGCTTCTTGTGCAGAAATGACAGATTAGACTACCTGAGACCCTGAAATCTTTGGTATCATGTTCCTATTAATAGGAAAGATACATAAAAAAGACTGCACTTACCATCTGACCCAAATGCCCTGAATATTCCAGCGCTGGTAACTGCATTAGAAAACAAAATTGCACAGTAAATAAAATGGTTTTGAAATATTAAGATTCAATAACAACAAACTGACACACAATAAAAAAAGGAGAGAGACTTTGCTATACTAGCCAAATAAGTTTGGCCTGCTAGCGAGCACTGCTTCCATATAGGGACAGGAATTTTGCTATCTGACCTTCTTTCAAACCATAATTTCCTGCCATCTTTTTCAAGTAATCATCAACTATAAGTCCAGTTGTTTCGAGAAATTTAGTACAATAAAAGATAACTATGTGGTGACACCATATAATTAATGTAAATACATTCAAACGTTAGTATAGGCTTGACAAATTAGCCACTGCACAGGCCTTATCCAAAGTCTGCTCACACCAGTGGCAGGGCACTCACTGATTTCCATGGGCTTTGGATTAAGCCACCTTGGCCTTCAATAGCTACCTGTAGCTGCTTCTCTGCTGGTACCAGTTGTTGAATCCCAGGCAGTTCTCCTTGCTGCAGTGGTGGCTGTCCCACTTGGACGGGCGGCAACACTTCGTTCTGCTGTATTTGACCTTGCTTTGAGGGCAGCGTTGAGCGCAGGGAAGGATTCTGAGCCTGTAATCTTGGTTGCTGTGGCTGAAGTGGGGTCTGCTGCGATGGCAGAGGTGGTGGATGTACAGGCATTGCATATTCATACTGTGACAGGAAGAGGTGCAGCCAGGAGGAAAAGGGTAGGAGAGTGGTAGTTAATTATATCAAAGATATAGCCTCTTCCTTAACTTAGAGAACTGAAAAATGAGGCCAGCATTTCTGTCTCAACCCTTTGAAGCCTCTTTGGGCCCCAGCATTGAAAACCCATGCTTCATTGCATTGCATTGAATTGCCTTGTCTTTTATCTATATTATTTGCAAGCAATTCCTAATCCAGTATATTACAGTGCAGACTTTACAGTTGTCATAACATTTTTTCTTATGTAATGTGATGAAAACAGATTGTTTACTGGGTTTACATCTAGGTCCACAGTACCCTCTAATCACCTGGAAGAGGGCAGAATCTCAGGGTGTACTCAGTATAAGCTTTCCCACATCCTGATTTTAAGTGTTAAGGATGCATAATTAACATACACTGTTCACGCAATGCCATTTTTTCCAAACTAAATTTAAAAGAAGAGTCTTGATTGCTTTCACTTAGAGGCCACTGTCCATCTTAGGAATCTCTATACCCCTTCCTGCTTAAACCATACCATTTATCTTCCCAATGCACCTATGAGGCAAGGTACTGTCTACTTTGTAGATGGGGAACTGAGATGCAGAGAGACTTGCAGCCAGATTCCAGAATTTAATAGTACTGACCATTGCTGTGCCTAAAAATCAGGCTGTAGGGCCAGAACTTGAAATTCCCAACACTTTAAATGAGGAACTCTTGATGCCTAGGATCGGAAGAAAGAGAACACAAAAACCAGCCAATAGGAAATGCCAAAGGGATGGGGGTCTCTGATATCCTACCTCTGTCTGGAACTGAGGCATCTGCCTACAGCTCTGAATTATGTGCCTATGTGAGATTAGGTGTCATGGCCTAGCTCCCCAAGAGTACACTAGGCATCTCTGATGGAGCAGGGAACTGAATGAGAGTATTCCAGATCAGGGATTTGCAATCTAGGTATTCCAGAGCAGGTATTAAATTCTCTTAGCCACTAGACCATCCTGCCCCTTAGAAGCAGCTGTTTTTTTTAAAGATGCTCAGAGAAGTTTGCCTGGTTCAATGGCTTTAGGCTAACTGATTCCCTTAAGATTTTGTTGCTGATCATGACCACTAAATGACATTCTTTCATCTGTTTCCTTTGGGTGACTTAGTGACATTCATAGGAAAACAGAACTTTCAGAACTAAGACAGACATTTTGTCTGTGTGTCTGCTACTAGGTCTTCACAAATGACTAACTTCTGCTGCTTCATAGGGAGGTGTGTTTCCAGAGCACTTCTGACTTGCATGAGCCTTTACTGATTTCCTGAACACAGTTTCTGGAGTTCTGGCAAGTAGAGAATGCCAAGAAAATGCTTACCTGTTGGGTCTCACGTTCTTGTGGTCTTTGCTGTAACCATGGAAATGAAGAGTGTGGTGGGAGAAGACCATGCAGCCAGACTGAATTAAATGGTTCACCATAGTCGTACCGACCATACTAAGAGATTGGTGAAAGCAGAGGGAGACATTTTCAGGTTGCTTTTATGCCAGTTTTTATTATACCAATGTACTGGATAAGACTTGGTGAGCACCATCCTACTATCGTATTTCATGCGCTCATTAAAACTTGAGGGAGACACAGTTCAGTTTTGCAGATGCAAAAAATGTGTTAATATTTTAAGGGTGTGAAGGCCACTGGGGATTACAAGACAACAATCATTGGGGATTTTTTACAGCTATTTTAACCTTTTCCCAATCACGGTGATTAGATGCTTCTTTGATTATGTGCCTCTTCAATTCTGATTCACATTCATGATCCAGCTAAATGGTCTTTACATTGAAAGCTGGGATAGAAGCAGCATACAAGCTTTGTCAGAAAGCTCCTGGACTCCATAAGTTATGGGGTTTATGAATGTGGGGTTTATGATGTCAGCTGTTACTGATATATAGACATACACAAGGGCTAGGTACAGACATTCAGAAAGCCCAAGGTTGAATCAATCTAAGTTATGCGGTTTTCTGTAAGTGGTATAGTTTAGATCAGTAGAAAACAGAACACATTCACACTTTGCTCAGGGGGGTGGGCATCTTAGATTGAGTTCTGCCATTTTAAAATCAGTTTATGTGTGCTAAATTTCTGTTTTGTTATGGGTATAGTCCAGTTTTGTGTGTCAAATTTCTGTTCTGTTATGGGTATAGACCTGTTTCCAATCACTTATACCAGTAAAAGTGTAATGTCTATACCTGGCCTAAGTGTAGACTGGCAAGAGTAGAGGACCAAGTTAAGCCTGCCTAATTTTCCTAACATTTGATCTCATCACTGTTTTAGCATTAAACACATTAGCAAAATGGAAAGGACTGTCTGAGTATTTGAAAGCAAGGGCTAATAACAATGCTGATAACAATAACAATAATCCTTGAATGCTGATAACAATCTTCAAGGAGAATTTCTTGATGAAGTCCCAGTGCTGTGTGTCTGAACATCTCACAGTCCAGCAAATTTATCCTCATCTCTCCCCTGTGCTGAAGTCAAGTATCACGATCCCTGTTTTACAGAGAGGAGACTAAGATTGCTGGCAAATGTTAAAGACATTTTTAAAGATCTGGAATGCAGTGAGCCCGACATCGGGAAGCCTTTCACTGATGCTGAGTTCACAGTGCCCCAGACCTTTAGAAAGCAGGTGTGCAGCAGGGTGCCTCATGTGAAGGCCTGCCTGCCTTCTTATGTTCCTGGGTGCTAAAAGCCCAACATCAGAGAGAGGCTCCCTGATGTCAGGCTCCCAATGCCCCCCATGGTGTAGTGAGGGATGGGGGAACTCCCCCACCCCACACTACACATGCCAATTTGAAGAGGCACCCATGCAAGCTCCCTCATCCCCAGCTGCCATTTAAATGGGTGATTGCAGATGTGGAAGGAGGAGCTATCCCCATCCCCTGCTGCACATGTTGGGCACCCCTTAAAATGGTGTGTCCAGTAGGGGATGAGAGACATTTCTCCATCTCCAGGTGCTCCTGCTGGATGCCTTTTTTAAAGGGGCAGTTGTGGCTGGGGATGGGGAAAGCTCCCCCATGCCCAGATGCTCTTGCCCATTTAAAGAGCTGTCCCACGCTAGCAGCTGGGTTGCCACCCCCTGCTGCTTGCACGGGTTCATCTTTAAACTGGCACGTGCTGCTGCACACCCCCATCCCCAGCTGCACGCCTGGCATCCCCAGGATTAAAGCAGCTGGGTTCAGAACCTGGAACTGCCCCCAAGCCAATCCCACCAATTGTGCAGGGGTGGCTTTGTCCTGGCCCCCTTGGTTGCCTTGTGCTAGACCCTGATGCTCAGCTTAGCATCAGGATTTGGCACCAAGCATCCCCGTCCCAACTCAGACCCAGGCTTTCCCCTTCCTGGTCCAGAAGGCTGTGTCCCGAACCCCAGAGCTGCCCCATGCCCTGAGACTCACTAGGATCTTGCATCTTAAAGGGCCTTTTGGAGACTGCAGGGCAAACCTTTTTAAGGTGCTGGGTACTGGTGAGTTCACATCCCAGTGCTGACAATCAGCTGACTGTCAGCATTGGAACCAGAGCAGTCCCCAGCCAGGTTCCAGACCTGGGGCTGTCCAGGTCCTAATGCTGGCAGTTGGCTGATAGCTGGCATCAGGATGATGGTATGCTACACATTCAGTGTATGGCACCATGCAAACCAGCCACAAAAACTAAACCTCTTCAAAATTCAGTGGGGGGGGGCGGTTTATACACAAAGGCTTCATAATTTTTATTCAAGGAATAAGCTTTATTTCAGTCTGGGTATATGCAACAGAACTGTTTCTGCATATGATCCCTAATGCCCCCACACATTTGAATTTTGCTAGGTAGAAAGGGGTATTAAGTGTTTAATTTGAAACTTAGTCACTAAAACCTAGAGTTACCATCATTCCTGTGAAGCTGTCTTTAGGCTGAAATGCCAATAATTTCAGTGTCCATAGCCACCAATACCATTTTGCTACCTCTTTATTGCTACTATAAAAAAGAAATCGACAAATAGAATACTATTGTGAAATGTGTATAAAAAGTAACATACCTTTCCAAAATATTCACAAATTTCTCAAAATAATAAATGTTTTATAATAAATAGTTACCTGTGGAAGCATGTTCATGTTTTGTCGACCATATTGCCTCATCTTCTGACAAACAAACAGAAAAATCTTTTACTAGTTGAAGCAAAGGAATAAATGATATCCTCACTGTTCATCTAAATGCTAATGCAAACTATTATCTACTGTTGAGTGATTAGGAGAAATCCTTGCTTAGAAGCAGAACAATCAACTATACAGTATCTCTAATACATCTTTATGAAGCATGGAATGGCCATCATATTATGCTTAGTATAATACAAACCATATTGGATCTATACCAACTAACAGGTAACAGCAGCTCATCATTATGCTGGAGTGTTTTATATATGAAATAAGGAAAGAAGATGCACCTGAGAAGCTTGACAAATATGAAAATTATATGTAAAAATACTGTTAGAAACATCCTGTTAAACTTGAATTTTGAAAGTTTGAGACATTATTTAGGACCATTCTGCAAAGCACTTATAGATATGGTTAATTTTATTCACATCACATTACCTTCAATCAGTGGTGTCTTTAACCGGACTGCTTGTGTGTTTAAATTTTAATATATTATGCTGGATTGCAGCTTTTGCACTAAGTTAAAAAGAATCATTACAATACTGTAGTATTTCTTAAATACGTCACTTAGTATTTGTGGCATTAGTGAAGTGGTCAAATAGAATAGTCTCTTTATTCCATCATTTGCTCCTTGCCATGGCTGAATCATGGCATATAACCAATGGGCTTTCTGATCCCCTTGTCCAGATTCACTGGACTCAGTACTAAGGTTGGTATTTTCAAAAGCACGCAGTATTTGCTTAACTCTACTCCCAAAGGAGTCAGTCAAGAGTTTTACCATTAAGTGTGACCAGGGTAGAGGAAAGCCAAGGGGAATTATACCATTGCCTTTTAATGGGAGCTGTTTAGCCAGTTTTGAGAGTTCACGAAAATTCCAGTTTCCACCCATACACATACACTCACATTAGCTAAGTTGAAGCCAAGGCTATATAAAGGATGCTGGTTCCAATGAAGTAAAACTGAACAGTAAAATTGTGCTTCACTTATTTGTTCTCTGTTTAAAATGGGAGTTCTTAAAGACAGGGGCTTATCTTTGTAAAGTAACTTATACATGCTAGGTCATAGTAACCACCACCACTCTCTCCTAACACTGTAACTGAGGAGGTGCCTACATCTTGTCTGAAATCTCTTTTCTTTTCAGTGTTTTTTGTCACTATGACTTTTGTTTTGAAGCTGCTCTGAAACAGTCCCATTTCTCTGAAGCCAGAAAGTACTGGAAAACTCATGATAGACTCTGTTCATACAATTTCAGAGCAGTAAAGTTTGGCTAGGCATAAGCTTCCAGGGTAGGGATTTTCAAAGGAGCCTAAGGAAATTAAATATGCAATTTACTTTATATTTCAGCTGGATTTGAGTGTCTAACTCCCTTAGGCATTTTTTGACTTGACTTGAAGTTTGCCCATCACTAGGGAACATATTAATGAGCAGATACAGCATTGATTTCTTCAAGCTGGAAAGAATTTTCTTACCCAAAAGGTGGGAGATTGAGGCAAAAAAGTTAGTATTTAAGGACAATTGATTTTGTTTTGTTGAAAATCTCACTCAGGAATATTTTTGCATTTAGTTTAAATGAATTGGCAATTAACAAGGTGTGTGTTTTTGCAGAAGTAGCAAGGATTGATTCCAACATAGAAGTTAAGGAGTTAGGTTACACTGTCCATTTTACTCAGACGGCATAAAGAGACCACCAAGGGGTTGGCAGAAAACTATTAATACTGTTTTCTTGAGGAAAAAAACCCAGCAGGTATTAGATTCTTTTAGACAAATTCCCAGGAACCAAGTCAAGAGGGCAGTGGGCTGATCTGCCAGAAAGGATTGTTAGAGGAGTGAACTCTTCTGAATGCATCACAAAGGAGACCTAACTGTAAAACCAAACCATGACAAGCTTTTCTGGTATGGGAGTTAGTTTTATTTTCCCTCATTTGGGGATGTCAAAAACAGATATTTGGTTATTGTTAAAAGTTAAATCAGCTCTCTCTATATATAGATGCAGGCATTGGAAAAAGAAATTGCAAAATTCTTGTGAAATTTAGCAGGAGGGGGAGCCACGTGCCATCTTTAACCAGGTCTACTTTGGAATATTTTACTCGGTTAATTAGCCAGGGGAGGGGGGCCCTCTTTGGCTGTGAAAAGTCATTTTTCTGGATAGTGAAATCCTGAGTTGCTTGTTCTTCCTCCTGTTTCATCTCACCCAAGCTGTCCTAGTTACAACAAGGGTTCTACGTAAATGGTTGTCATATACACAACAATGGAAAAAAATATACCTCAAGGCTCATACTAGCCATTCCACGTGTCCCAGTATGCTGAGGGTACATCTACAAGCAAACAGAACAGCTATTAGCACCCGGCTTTGAGAGGTTATATATTCCTCACCTGGGCCAGGGAGGTGTGAAGGTAAAGATATTAGGGAGAAGTCAGTGTTCTGTAGCTAGGGATGATGCTATGGATTCACATAATACAAGATTAACAAAGATAAAAAAATATCATAGCAGCTGGACCTCTACAGTTGTGCATGTCCCCACTTTTACTATTTATATTATTATATTAATATTATGGTAGGATCCATAGATCCCAATTAAAAGGCAGGGGCTTCTTGCTGACACAAAAGAAAGAGTCCCTGCCACAAAGCTTCACAGTTGAAGTTAATCAGAAATTTCCTGCCAAACCTTTTTTCCATTTTGACAGGAATGGGTGTACAAGTTGTGACCAGAACTAGAAAGAGACCAGTGATGACAGTGTTCACTGAGGGAGGAAAAGGGAGTAGGTTGAGGCTTAAATCGATAATCAGAATTAACAGAGCAAGAACTTGAACTTCCATCTCTCACTTCCCCATAGAGGTGTCCCAGCCATGAAGCTATTGGCTGTGCTGAAAGAGAGATCACCCTGTCCTGCTTGAGCTTCTCCATTTTGAATGAATACATAGTCAATGGACCAAAAAAGTGTGAAAGGTCCATCCTGAGCCTAGCAACCCATCAGGCTAGTGTGATTAAGACATGCCAGTTTCTGTAGCCTGTGGTACACAATGGAGTGATGTGGCCAGCTCCAAGTTCAGTTGCCTTTGACTCCCCAGCCTGAATGACTAGTTACCATGTATGGCTGGGTTGTACTAGGGATTTTGGCACAGATCCAGACGAAAACTCAAACTTGCACCCCTAGGGCCATAGTAATACCCCTTTACCTGGTCTGCTACTGTGCCCTAACATAAAACAGACTGAATAATGCCATTCAATGCAGTGATCCCTATGGACCTACTTGCAGCTAATTACAAGTTAAACCAGTGTAAGTATGCAGGATTGAGGACTAAGTATAAGATGAAAGACTAGAGGGAGCAAAGTCACATCCTCCTTTCTCCCTCAGGTCCAGAAGTAATATTTGGAAGCTTAGTTTTTCTTTAAACAAATCTTGTTTCAGTGAAATAAATAGTCAGAGGTGACAGGAGGAGAAGGGGAGATTAATTTGACCAGTATTGCAGAACAAGAATATTTGTTTAAAGGTTAGTGTCTGTATAAAGTGACTAAAGATGTGGTTAAAATTCTGTTCTAGCATCTGCCTTCTCAGCGTGCACAGACATAGCTGTAGTGTCCATAGATAAATCTGTATATGTCAGGAGTGTACTGATGTCATGGTTCACCATGCAGCTCAATCTAGCTATCTATCCAGAGCCCAGAGCCCTGGTATGAGTCTCATAGATCTGACAACACAACTTGGTCTATCTTAGTCAATGAAGTCCTTCAGCAGTACTGTCTGTTCAGTTGCAGCTGGGACAGAATGACTTCTCCCCCTGCAAGCAAAACTTCCCATAGATGCTGCATTCTTCTTTAGCAGCAAAATTGTTGAGCAGAAGGGGGAATTTGTGAGGGTGAAAAACAAAACTTTACCAGGATCTGGACCTAGAATTTGGAGCTCATTTTCATAGGAGAGAAAAAATGACCATGGGTCTCAGAACTTTATGAACATTCACAACTAAATTAATTCATTTTTCCTCATCTAGATTATATGACTGTAATAAACCTCTGTTCTCAAACCAAATTATTGTACTAACTGGAAAGGAAGAGAGATGCAATTGTTTGTCTGTTTGTTTATAAAGGCTTGAAAGGTACTGGGATACTATGGAGATTGGAACCAGGTAAGCACCTAGACAGAACAAACAACACAGACCTATTATCAGACCTAATGGGTGTGTCTACATGTGCTTATTTCTCCAGAGTTTATTTGTGCATGCATGCGGAGCCTGGTTCAAGCAGCCCAAGCTGGCAGGGCATCCTGGAGGGGTTAGCCTGCCAGCTCAGGCTGCTCCAATTGGGCTCCATGTGCTGCAGAGCAGCTGGCTGAGGCATGAGGATGCTTCAGCACAGGGGCTGCTTGCTGGCTAGCCTCACACTGAAGCATGCTGTGCCCCAGTCAAGCCAAGCAGCATCTACATATGCACTGCTGCACACAAATAAACTGCAGCAGTATTTTACAAGTACTATCCTACTGCAGGTTTTATTCATTTCATATGTCCTAATAGGGGTGCATGTAAGGATGCTGAGATGTTTACTGTATAGTTAATTAGTCAACTGTACAGTAAACATCTCATGTAGATGCACCCAATGAGTGAGAATGACAGCTTCTGCTTTGGCACACTCTTCTGTTTTCTTGGGCACTGGTGAGTGAAAGAGGAAGGGTGGTGAGCTGCTGGTCTATGAGAAATGTTCTTGCAAAATGTATGCACTTCTGTTAAGACACACAAGAAGAGTGCCTTGTGCAAATCAAACAGGTTAATAGGGCAGAAAAAGCACTGTTGCTAGCAATAGGTTTCTACTTGCCTAACCCAACAAAGACCTTATTCTGATTAGGGTTTCTGAACCCTACTGCACTACAGATATGGTAGCAGTTTTGTTCACAAAAGATTGTGTTAAATTCCACTGCTGACTTTGGGACCTTCCTTCCAAGTGGTGGCTTTTTTCATACACATACCCTGGCATTGTTCAATGCATCCAAAGAATTTTGTTAATTTTAAAATTGGTAAAAGGAGACAAATCATGCAAAACTTTTAATAAATATGTTTTGGGTTTTTCAACCAGCTTCACCATATAAGCATTTTGTGAGAAGAAGAGGATTTAAAAAACCTACTTAACAGTAGCCTATCTCTGCTTTCCCTGAAGTCAACAGCAGAACTCCCATTGGCTTAGCTTTGATCCTCTGGCAAACCTCTCATTGATTTTAATGGAAGCCAAATCAAGGTCAACACTGAGCACTTCTGAAAAGTGTACCTTTTGTTTAGAATGCTGAACACTTCCTGTTCAGTGTGATTCCTGGGAAGTATTACAAGTCTAATTCTGGTTTTCTAATTCTCCCTCTCTGCATTTCTTCAACAGATTTGTAGAGATGGGGGAAAATAATACTTGAATAAACAAACAAAGTGGTGAAAATGACAAACTATTGTAGGACTCTCTTGTGAACTTTATGACTTGCCTAGAAGATCTTAAATGTGTCTTGAAATGCAAAAGATAGAAATATATTTTTCAAATGAGCATATTCTAACAGGTAACAAACTGCTATGCTAGCTGTAAAATCTGGAGTTTCCTTGAGTGCTGAATTCTCATGCATGGAGGATCTGTATATTAGAGAAGTGAAATCCTGATGGAGCAGTGTTTCCAAACACTTCAACACCCAGCATCTCCCTTGAGAACAACAGGAACTACAAAATGCCGAACATTTGGAAAATGTTCTCCTAGATGTTGATTTTCAAGAGCTGTTCTCTTGTCAGTATACTCCCTGCTGTACAATTTGTGCTGCCAAATCACATTCATCTATACATGGAATTAAAGCCAAGAGGTAAATTGGTAGGTATCTTCCCCTAACAAACAACCTAGAATTTGATATATAAGCATATGACTTACTGGCAAAGCAAACCCTGTGCCTAGGAGGCATAACATCAGCATCCAGACATTCATATTTCAGAGCTCTACCTGGAACAGAATTGTTATGGGAATTTTAGATTAGTTTTAGCTCCCGGAAATTAAATAGTGCACCAAGAAAACCATATCATTATCCATACAAGTACACTCTTACATGAAAATCCCATTCATTTTCAATCATTAAATCTGGGGACTGCTGAATTCCCATAGCCAGTTCATGCTAAGATTATAGGCTGTAAGGCATCTCTTGTGGGAATACTGGTATGAGTTGTTTGGGATTTAAAAAACCAAATAAATTGTATAATAAAATTAAATGCCACTAATATTTCATTATGAATGCTATACAGACTTGATATGGTATGTGCAACATTACTGTTATCATTAAAACTCTATTCTGCTTGTTCTGCTTTCAAACACTAAAGTATCTTGGAAGATGCAGGCTAGTTAAATTATATCCTCCTTATCCTGCAGGCCTGACATTGTCCAACTAAACAAAATATCTATTTGCCCATGATAATCCTTTTCATAATTACATCCCTTCACATAGAAAATTCACAGTTCAGTCCCACCATTTTCAATACTCCAAATTGTGGATAATCATTGATCTTCTGTCACAAGCTGGGGAGTTGACAGCAAAAGTACTTTTCAGCTAAGTGTACCAAAATGTTTGATGGAAGTAGCCCTAACCCTAAGGATCCCCTACACAACAAATATCTAACCTTATCCATAACAGACCAGTACAATTAGCATTACCTTGATTAGCTGGCTTGAGCTGCTTTTTTAGAACCTGCAGATCCAAGTCTCAAAAACCTTCACAAGATAAAGTCTTGGTTTTGTATGGCAGTCATTTGTGAATTTCCCTTTCTCAGGCTAGCCATGAACCTTATTTAACTGACTAATTAGCCAATCAAAATGAAGAGAGAGATGTAGGCATGACCTACCAGTAATTACTTCCCAACTTTCCATCACACACAAAGTGGTAGGCCCTACGTTCTCATTAATTTTAATTGCATACCACAGCCTGTATTTGGGGAGGCATTTTCTTCATAAAACAGAGTGCACACAAAGAGCATGCGGCCCAACTCTGCTCCCAGTTACACCAGGTGTAAACTGAGAATCCGTCAAATTGTGAGTATTAGTCCCAGGGTTACATTGGAAGCAGAATTTGTTCCATTAGATTTAGAGCCTGGTGGGCCATTGTTCTGGGTAGGGGAATGTCTGGTAGCAAACTACACCCCATATCTTATGGAGCTCTTCAGTGGACAATGGAATATAGCGAGTATTGACTCTAAATGGCATTCTCTATTCAGCTGTGCGATAGGCTGAGCTAACTGCATAGAGACCACCATTGTGTTTACAGCTAGGTTGGGTTTGCTAAAGATTTTCTTGCCATACAGCAGGGACTATTACCG